AAATGCCCCCCCCCCTCCTTCCGCGCCAAACCACCATCAAGTTTATAATAATAATAACTTAACAACAATATACGGTAAATAACACCATAATTATAAATATGGTAATAAGGAGAGAGGCAACCGCTAAATTCGAAACAGCGCACGATAAAAATTTATTGCCAATAAAAATAAATTATGCAATGGTAGAATTACGGAAAATGGACGTTATATATTTTCGCAGGTATAATAATCCAAGCGCTAAAATGTATTTCGGATATAATAAAATAATCGTGTTCAATACTTCACGAATCAACTGCACACTCATTAAAATCTATTTTCTAGGAGTTAACAACCAAAACTATAACTAATCCCAATAAGTTTTAGGCTACTGTAAATGTAAAACTAATCCAATATGCAAAGTGTAAAGTAAATTTAAGACATTTTATGGGTTAAATGGATAATAGTGGTTTTACGGGAGTATAAACTATATAATCTGAACCAAGTCATAATTGCTGTTTACTAGAAAATGGAGCCGTTTTTAGGACCCAAGGTTGGTAAATAAGACTTACCTACCACCGATAAGATATAAACGGAATAAGATACCACTAACGAGATGGCTATCAATACACGTATACAATTTCGATATTCACCAATGTCGGGCCCCATTCATTTCCAAGACTCTACTACGCAAAATTAAAAATAAACCTCACACACTTTTTACGCCTTATGATTTTAAAATTAGCTAATTGTCATTGACGTGGGAGAGGCGGCCAACGTTCGTTTGTTTCAAATTTGTTTAAAATTGTCCGCACAATGTTTTCTTGGGTATTATGGCAATCACGTGACCAAAGATATGTTTGGGCCAGTGTTACGCAATTGCGTGCCGGAAGTGGCAAGTATGAAAAGCAGTCATATTTATTGTAAACAGTTGGTATTGTTGGTATTTTATAGAGATTTACACTACTACTACTACTACTACTATATCCTCCTACTATCTACGACTCCTTTCGAGTCTTAATGGTTAGTTTAGTAGACCAAGATCAATCTTTCTAGTTCGCGTCTATTACAAGTGATTGTAGGTTAATATTCTGCCGGTGAGGAGGATATGTGGATAGGTGAAATCAGTATCAAAGTTGGCATAAACTGAGCTTTGGGCAAAAGCAATGTCGCACTCAAACAATTTCACTCGCATTTTTTCGACCAGACTAGGTTTTTGCTGCATTAGACGCTGCGAATTTAGGTTTTCCCAGACGTCTAAACACTGAAGGTTTTTAAAAACAAGTTTTGCATGCAACGCCCAATTAAATGTGGTTTCAGAAGAGTCGAGAAGTTGAATTTTTAGGTTCAAAAAAATCTTAGAAAGCAGCGTGTTTTCCACTTTGTTAATATTATTACTGTGTCTGACTGGGACGCCCTTTTGAAACTGTCTATGCCGGCGACTACCGGTCGGGGATAAATTTAGAAAATACACGCACAATAACTCGATACGCCACTGGAACGTTAGTCAGAGGTGTACATGTGGCGGACGTAAACGCCAACAAACGGGCGATGTTATGCTATTTTTTTGGCAAGTATCGGACTGTTTTATACCATAGTTTATTGTGGTGTTTTATTATCGTACGTAAATACATTTTCAAGTTCAAGTTCAAACGATAGGTCAAATAGACTCTAATAAGGGTCACGTGGGACAAGTGCCGGCGTCCGATAACTTCGACCTAGTCGCAGAAAGTCGCGGTCTTCATTTAAGTTATTTATTGCTTCAATTTTCCAGAATGGACAAAGCTCGTACGAAGTTTTAGTTGATTTTGCGTTGAAATCTATGAATTCTGGTTAATGTAGAGGGTGTCCCAAAATTAGTGGGCCAAACTGTAACACCACATATTTCCGAAACAGGTTGAACGAAAGTTTTGAAATTTTTCAATAATAATTTTAAATTTTGGTGAACTTTTGAGGGGTGCAATAACTTTTTTCTGGCTTGATTTTTTTTTATTAAATCCGAAAAGTTGTATTCGAAAATAAGGTACGCTGGGAGATGGATATCAAAAATAGACTGCAATCTTATTTATTCATCAAACATGGAAAAAGAATTGACAAGGTTGTTGTTGTCGGTTTGACATTTATTGTTTTTTTGTTCACATTGTCTCTGAGGTTTTTTTTTAATTGGTTGTTTTACAAGTATGGAGCGTTTGGAGATATTAATTTTTTTACGGCTATTGCAATGGTAACACGCGACAAAGACGATATCCACATCGGAAAGTATTTTCTAACATGCATCGAAATTTTGCAGAACGTGCATCGTTTGGTCGATTTTAGGACCAATGAAGGCTTATGGAAAAGTCTAGTTATGCGAGAGTGCTAAACAAAATTGAGAAAAATCCTCATATAGCATTAAGATTCCCGGCAGATATCTCCAATATTCCTAAAACAATTGTAACATCACTGATGTGATGTTTGATAAAAAGTTCCGCAGTTGTTTTCTACTTTTGTGACGTAGGCGAATACATTTTTGGCTTGGTAGAATGACCTAAAATTTTATGGTCTGACGAGGCAACATATTCAAGCTTTTAACATTCACAACGCACACTTAACAACTATCCGGGTATTGTTCAAAGAACCAACTTTTGAACATAGCTTTTCTATTAATTTTCCTGCGGGAAATGAATTAATAGGTTTTTTAATGTATAAAATATACCAAATTGTTCGAAAATATTATCATAAGCCATACGTATTCGCTTGGCGATTTTCTTTCAGCACGATGAAGCACCAACTCACTTTGGGTAGAGTGACCAGTGGCCAGTTCGGACGTCTGACTTAAACCCACTAGATTATCTATGGCGTAATAAGTGTAATCCTATTTATACGACACAAGATAGTTCAGAAGAGGTGTTAGGGGGCATTAATGTTCTAAATTTTTCGGACAAGCTCAATTGTGTAATTTTGAAAAGCGATATCAATTAGGTGTACTTTTTATAGGAGTGCTTTTATAAAAAAAATCCGCGTCCCCGAAAATTTCTAGTCCAAACGTCAGCAACAAAAATATCCGAACGGCCCACGTATTTATTTTGTTTATCTCAAAATGGTTTAATTAAAAAATTAATTAATATTATCGACTCGGTTATTTGTGTACTCCCCTCGGAGTCAGAGTAATTAAGGAACGACGAGTTGCGAAGAAGTAAATCACACGGCCAAGTGCTTATTAAACGTCAGGTGGGCAATATATTTTTTTTAACTCGCCCCCTCTCCACCCCGCTCAAGTCGGCAGATCGTCAGGGGAGGGAGGGGAGAGCGGTGTAGCACTTTATTATACGAAGGCTTCAAAAATAAAAAGGACAAATGGCGGGACGAAAAAGTTTTAATGTTCGCGCGTTCTTCCTTAAAATTACCCCCTCGAGGTTAAATTGAAATTAATGGCGGAACGGGAATCGCACGCACGCGCAGATAAGTCTCTCAATTGTGCGTTGAGAATATGGAATAAAAGTGTCTATTCGTAAATATCATGTATTATGAAATAAAAAAAATACTTTTACATAAAAATGAAGACAGACAGACTATAGACAAGGCTATAGAAGGGAACACTTCCCTGTGAAAGTTTTCCATTCGATTATTTCATATAATTATATATACAAGGTTTTGTATTGACTTTTCTTTGAAAATCAACTCCTAAAATTTTAACTTATTTATTTATTTATTTAACATTGAAAGCGATTGAAAAATAAAATGACATATTAATCCAGTCAAAACAAGAGTGTAAAGACAGAGAGTTATGAAATGAAAATTTGGACAAGATAAATTCCGTATTTCAGTTTATAAAACTTACACACTCTGAACAGTTCCTAAATGATAGCCACATCGTGGAGCATGATTATAATTATAGAGATGAGCAGACATTAGAGATATTAATTAAAGAAAATAAAAACTTACACAATGAAAACAAATAAAAATTCGAAAAAATGCATTTATTTTAATAATTTTTTCCTCCCTTATAGTAGATTTTATCAAAAAGGTTGAAATTTTATTGGAGATAATGCAGTTATTTATATCTATCCAGTATTTTTATACTTTCTCTACAAACAGTTCTGAAAACATATGGTTAAGGAGTTCGCTACATAATATTACATGCTGGCTCTAAAGATGGCTTTGTGGAGTATGGCAGTCTCATGTTTAAATAGGGCTAAAAATAGACTATCATGATTGAAGGAACACTGAACATTTTGAAGATGAATTATATTTCTTTCTTATGAGAAAAGTAGACTTTCTCTAACCTATAAGCAGAGATAAAAGTTTTAGTTTTGCACCCACGCAAACTCTTGTTTCCTCAAAACTAATATGCTTTGGGAAAAAACTAACTTATGTAATGATCGATAATGATCTTACAACTGTGGACGTGCTGAGCCAATACTTAATCCAAGTTGGATCAAGCAGTTTCTCGTCGAGTGGCGAGAAAAGTTTAATGAAAGACCAGCTATGGATGTTAGTGAAACAACGCTTGCTAGAAAAACTACATAGGTAGTTCCCAAGTATATGAAATTATTTCAAAATATAATCTTTTAAGAATGGACAAGTTATCATTGCCAATTTAATGCCATATAGATATTTTTTTGTTCAGATTGTAAACGGTATTAAGAAGCCAAAATAGGTTCCATCAAACCCGTAACAACTGTTGCTTTACTTTGTTTCAGGTTTCACCCAAAAAATGGAAAAACTATTGTAGGCACACAGACTCGGAGGAGGACATTTTTGTTTTTGTTCCCCTTCTTTGCTTTTTGCGTTATGGGTTTTCATTGTTTTTGTTGTTGAAACATTGGAATTTATTCAAAAAATAAACCTATCCAATTGACATTTGTTTTCTCCCAACCAACTAACCAAAACTAAACAATCCCTTTAACGACTCTTTGTTAGAGGAGTTGAAATTCTTCGAGGAAATCACAAATATCGTTAAGTAATTTAAAAAAAAAAAAATAACGTTAAGTTCATTCTAACAACTAATCTTTCAAAACGAAAGTGAAAGCAATCAGTCTTACCTTAATAAAATCTTCGGACGAAGATCACAATGCACTAGAGGTTCTAAGTCTAATCGGTTATCACTTAAAAATTATGACTATCTTTTTTTTTTAATTGGATTATAATTACGCGTAAACACTGAAGCACAGGAAAAATCACTAAAAGGTTAACTAACAATTGCACAAACTTTTATATGGCGAACGGCAGCGGGGACTTTCGGGCAGAGCGAAAAATTTTCGTCAAGTCATCTCTCCATTTCTAATAGATTTTCGGATCATTCGATTCTGAAAAGAAAAAAAAACATTATTTTACTAAAAGTCAAAGCAAAATACCTTACCATCTAAATTAGTAGTACTAGTAAAGATTTTGTGAAGCTATTTGTCTAATCCCTATGCTAAAATAACCAATTGTGTACTGATAGTGCACAAAGTGACCAGCTTCTTCGCTCCGCTTCTGGACATTGTTGTATAATACCGAAGGTCGGTACTTATTTCTTGCCTAGGTATGAAGTAAATCGAAAGTTTGACATTTTTAACGATACTCCTTCAGAATATTTCATCATTTTGGTGCGCTTTATGTTGGTCGCAGTAACTAGAAAAAATCATCTCGGACAAAATACGGAATTAACTCGTAAACATTCTCATGCGTAGCTTTCGACGTGGATTATCAAGACAAGAGACAAATGCACTTTCTACAGCTATAAAGCACCATATTGCAGCAATGTGAAAAACTGTTATAACAAAAAAGAAACAAAAGATTGATGGTGTGAGATAGAGGCGTCTTTGGATTTAGTATGACTAGCATAAACATTTGATGGTCAATTTGTTGAGATTTGTTGGACCCCACATAATTTGACAACCGTTGAAAACAAGGTTCGTCTCCATTGATAAGGAACGAAATATGTTTAATTGAGGTGGCTTTTCCTTGATGAAAATCCATTTATCAAAATAAATAAAAAAATAATAATAATAATAACAAATAAATAAAAGTTCATATTCACGAAATTATATAATTTTACATGACAATTGTTTCGAATTCTACCACAATTTCGTATTCTGGAAATCAATGTAGATCCGATAACACAGCTGTGTATTATATATTTCAATATTTTTAAAGTCAACGATAGAACAGGCCAACAGTCATTTGGATGCCTGCAATTTTCAACTGTCCTGGGTTATTTTAAATCAGATTTCGTCAATCAGATCTAGTTATGGTTAGTTGTTATTACACACATATTGTTGTTATTACACACATGGATATAAGTATTTATTATACAAAATCTAGATTTACATCCAATAGTCACGTATCACTTATTAGGACTAGTAAAAGGGCAATCTCGCTGAAGGTTCCAGCAGCAATCGGATGTTGAGGCTATTCCATCATCCTTGAAAACAATCTCCAATATTTTTAATGGCCTGATGGAATCTTGCCCTCTTCACAACACACAAATTTTCTGGAAAGCTATCTAGGCGGCCGTAGAGGTAGTGACCTTTTTTAATATTATTACAATCGAGAATATTAAAAATTCTATGCTTTACGATTACCAAGAGAATTTTTTAATACTCGAACAAATGATTACCAATCATTAAATTCGGTCTCCTTCACTGATGTGGCAAATTGTGGATACTGAACTTGAATTATATTTACTTTTATTAGAACTAATACCAAAAAACTTATATCTCAAAAACCATAGTTGATAGAGAAACCGTGGTGGCAGTTAAGGAATTGGCCCTTAAAAGCATCTGAAATCGGATGTAGGCTTTCCGACACCATGTTTTTCTATTTCATTTTATTTTCCTGGGTAGTCGTGTCACATTTATGAGTAGATTTAAACTTTTTGATGGAACCCGCATGACCTCTATCCAACATGCGACATCGCGGCGGCGGCAGTGCCCTACTTTCCGCCTTTTGTAGCAATCCCAACGATCGATGACCTCCGCGTATACCTAGCTACAATACAAACATCATAACATTTCCCCCCTACCTGCAGTGACAATTTTAATAACATCCACGAAAAGTTTGCTTAATGAATCAGCCGGTCTCGTTAACTATACAGTGCGATTGATGACGGATTCGGCACAATTGGAGAAAGATGGAGACACAGGGTCATAAGTTACTGATGTTATCAAATTTTTATTTTTAAACAATACCGTAAATGGTACCAGAAAGCTGTCTTTACCATACAGGGTCTTAAAGTAGGACAATCCGTTTACCAAAACACTAAATAAACGAATTAAAAGATTTCATTTGTACTCCATATTTTAATATCTCCCTTAATCAGCAATTGCAACATATATTTTGATTTGATCTACGATTTTTCTAGTTGTATTGATATAATTACTAGATATATAAAAACTCTACCTAGTCTGATAATACAGGAATTTTGGAAGCCACACCAATGCGCGGTCATTTCAAAACTCTTCAATCAACCGAAAGATACGGCGATGTTCCACAATCAACAAGGCCACTGACATCAACTCGACAGTTTTATGTTTCAGTGTCGCGTTTTTTCAGCGGCGTTTCGTCAAAGTATGTGGAAATCAATCCAGAGAAAATTGAACAAAATGCAGATTGGTTGCAAATTTGTATCGCTGCTTCTTTGGCTGCTTGATCAATTTCACAGGCTAAACTTTCATCTTCTTCTAATTTATATTCCTCAACCTCAATTTTAGAAAATTAATTTTCGTGTATAAACTTAGGCTATAACATATTGCCTCTTTATTTCTTTAGGATGGAAACCAATTCAAAATCGGCCAAAATCCGTCATTTTGATAAAAAAAAAAGTTGGAGAAACTATCAACCTGACCACAAAAAATAAAGTCCCGAGACATTCGTCAGAAAAAATACAAAATTCAATTTCTATTTAGTTTTTTGGACCTGAGACATTAATAAACATGTATTTTAAAAAAGACACACTGTTTATTAAAAACCCAAGGTTCACAATAGAGTGACATAATTTTACTCGCAAGTATTACGTCGTATAATAAACTGAAAGAAGTATTCTAACATTTAACTTGTAAAATTGAAAATCACAGAAGGGCTGACTAGTAGTATGTTAGACTTTTCTTCTATACGAGTAACAATATTACCTCGACTTAAATCAGTTTCGGTGGTTTAAACGTATCAGCCACTACTGTGTAATATGCATATCAGCGACCTACATTCTAGAAATTATCCAAAAATAACTCATTTATTATCGGTTACCGTTACAAAAGTTTATCTAACTTATCTAATTAAAAGGTATTAAATGAAGTTACTAAGTGAAACGGTAATTTAACCCGATTTTCAACGATGAATAAACAAACTCATCAGCTAAATATTTGCAGCAAATGATATTTTTCTAGATGCAAACATTTGTAAAAAAAATGTGTTACCCATGTTCTTATTGAAATTATTTAAACAGTATTATTGGGAGTTCAAACAATATTTTCTTACTGAGCTGGCAACGTTGCCGGGTTCTGCAGACGTGCTATCTTAAAAAACTTGCATATGTTCAAAATTATTTATATATAATACAATGCAGTTAATGCAACGTAACACGAAAGAAATATAAGCATGTACAGTCGAACTCTATTGTGTATTTCTGATGAGTAAATATTTCTGACGGATAAAAAAAAAGCTTTCCTGTTACGGAAAAAATCAGCACTGTCACCATCAGGATCTGAAAATTTGATATGACCAGTCAATGCATCCAAAAAAATTAAGGAATTGATCGATCTCACAAAATTTCTTGGTATTCTATTAACTAACCAAAACTAACGTTTTTACAGAGAAATTTGACATTCTGAGGTTTGGTTTACTCAGTTAGGTTTTTTCGATATAGCATTGTTTGTGTTTTTTGTGATAAATTTAAAAAATTGTGAATCGGGAGCATTTTCGTGCAATATTTTTTTACAACTTTAGACGTGGACTAACTCAACAAAAATGCATCGATGAACTTAATTCGACTTTTGGAGTTAAGCACCATCTAGGACCACTGTTTATCGCTGGTTTTCGGATTTCACTCGTGGTCGTAGTTTTCTTAAGGATGAATTTTGTGAAGGTCGTCCAAAATCGATGGTTGTCTAAGAAAACATTGATGCAGCGCTGAAACTGAACATTTGCCAGCTAAAATAAATTGTTCGCGTCGGATTCCACACAATTTGACATCAGCTCAAAAAAAGGCTTATGTTGATTGGTCGAAGGAAATGCTAAAAAAATATATGATCGCGGTGCTTCCAAACACTATGATATCGTGACAGTTTTTTCAGGAAAGCTGGCCACGTTGTTTCTTTGGTGAAAGGTAAAACAGTCAATTCTGAATGGTACACAACCATTTGTTTGCCGAAAGTCTTCGAAGAAATTAGAAAAAACAATCGCCGAAGGAGAATCACTCTCCACGACGACAATGCTAGCTCTCACCGATCAGTGCAAATATTTTGATTTGATGAGCTATCCACCACATAGTCCTGATTTAGCACCTAATGACTTGTATTTGTTCGCATACATTAAGAATAAATTACGTGGGCACGTGACATCAGAAGAAGCGATTGATGTGGAAAAAGTGGTTTGGTGATTGGTTTTATCGAATGCAAACGTGTATTGATCATCAGGGTGACTATTTTGAGAAACAATAAACTCATATTTGTTGGTAACTTATAGTTTTTTATTACAAATTGCTAAATATAAAAGGTAGCCCTCGTACATGCTTGATATTCCGACTTAAGCTAGGTTAACACATGCTTTGAAATGCACCAGATGCAATTTGAATATTGGATGTGACACAAAACCTTCAGCATAGAAGCATAGAAGTCAGTACTAATTGCTGGAGGTATGGATAAGCCACGACTAGTTGGCATCTGCAGGCCTTCAATTACAAGACGTAAAAGAGTCATAATTCCGAATGTACCTCTTAGTAAGAGGACCCTACTGGCTTCTTTGTAATACATTTTTTAAAATATTCTTAAATTCTTCAAGCATTTTATAGAATCACAAGGGAATAAATTAAAAAAAACTACAGTAAATTCAATACTCAGCTATTTGCATGAAAAGTAAAATTAGAAATTGATGCTTACGTAGATCTTGAGGTTAAGTTTTCCTTCTGATAGATTGTGATTAAAGTGTCTTAAGCGAGGTTGGCAAACCAAGATGGACACTGCTCTTACAATTATATACGAAACAGCTGTGCTTCACACATAGGTTTAATAAGATACAAATGGAGCGACTTGGAGGATGATTTTTTGCCCATCAAAAATATTAATGATGCTGAAACGAAGATTAGATTCTCGAAGACATTTTCTTCATC